TTTTTTTTTTTTTGGTACCTGGGATGGAACTCAGGACCTTCCCTTGAGAGGCAGGTGGGGGCACCACTGAGCTAAATCCCTGGCCCAAATTAGTTCCCACCTCTGGAAGGGAGGGATACTTCAAATAAAGTTGAAGACACACTTATTCATTTATTTATTTTTGGTATTGAGGATTAAACACAGGACCTTGAGATTGCTAGGGAGGCGGTGTGCTGCTGGGCTAAACCCCAGGCTTAAGCTAATATTTTAATTGAACTAAAAAAATTTGTAACATATGCTTTGGAAAGAAATGAGCAAGATGTTGAACAATATGATTCTATTATTTATAGAGCATGGCAACAGGTAGATATTCAGTATTATTTGCTGAATTATTGAACAAGTGGAAGTGAGTAGAATCAGAAATAAACAAAATAGTTTAATCACACATCTTGGGTTATACCCAATTTAAGGTTTCTCATAACAGTCTGAGAATGTTCGGAGAAAAGTACTGGTTGGGGTATAAATAATCACATGATCAAAGGAACTCTTCTCTGGTCTCTTCTCTAGTGGCTTGTTGAAAAAAAAGTTGATGGATATTAGCTTCACACATATTATCTAATTTAGTTTGATGTACTCATTTTTCAGATAAGTATTATTTATTTTACAAATGAGAAAACTGAGTTGAAGTTATACAACTTGTCCAGTGTCAACTGCAGGTAAATAGGTGGCAGTGTAGGGATAGTTTTGGTGCATGCTGTCTCTGAGGGGCAGAAATATGTTTTTAAAACTGAGTTCTTAAAATTTGTGGTGATGGATGTGTCAGTTATTCTGATGCAATCACTACACATTGTATACAAGTATTGAAACAGCACACTGTACCCTGTATGTACAATTACTATGTATCAATTAATAATAAACATGCATTAAAATTTTTTAAAAGACTGAGCTTTAATTTACTAGCTCCATTATAATGACCAAGATCTTTAATCTCCTTGGGAATCCTGTTTCCACAACTGCCAAAAGGGAATAATAGTGATATTTCATCTTTATTTTACAAGTGTTGTGGGGAACCAAAAGAAATGATGTGAGGAGGTTTCCTTGTTTGCTTGTTTTTTTTTGGCTGTGCTGGGATTGAATCCAGGGTCTCACTCCTATTAGGCAAATACTCTTTATCATTGAGCCACGCCTCGGGCTGAAATGGTACTCTATATTTATTTACATAAAGTGATAGTTGGCAGATTTTATCCACTTAGTATGTATGTAGTCAAAGAAAAGAACGAAGTGTAGGGACAGGAGCCCTGTAGGTAGGGAAACTATAGGACGGAGCTTGAATATAGGATTTTTTAATATAGGATTAAGCTTGAAAAGTTAACGGAGAGTCTTACTAAGGACTGGCTGGAGGTGGTTTACTAGGCCTCTGCCTCTGCAGATTAGGCTCAAGCAATCAGAAAGATAAAGGCAAAGGAAGTAAACTCAGGAAGGTCCCGTAGCCTGATTAACATAAACCCCTTTACTTAACCCTTAAACCCAAACTACTTGTCCTAATCCCCTCACCCATAATCCTAGCCTCCACCAAACAACAGGAAAGGTCATATGGTCAGAAGAAATCCAAGGGAGGACCAAAGACAGCCATGGAGCCAATCAGATTCCAGGAGCCTACACGGAATGAAGAAAACCAAGTGAAGGAGCTGCAGAGATAAGAAATCCACAAATATTTCCCTTTCTAATACTTCCGACTTGTCCAGAGTAGCTCACATGATCTTTCTCTCTCTCTCCCTTCCCCTTTCTCAGTCTTCAAATAAATTGTCTGCTTTTATTTTAAACTCTGCTTCTTTAGTTCTTTTCCTGGCTGGTAGTTGCATGTTCCAGCACTGCAGTGGCATGGCATGGCATCCAGCCCTCCCCAGACATTACATAAACTTATCTAAAAATATAAAAAAACTCAAGCTCAAATAGGTATGCCCCCTACCATACTGACTAGGTGAATTGATCTTGTTAAAAACAGATTAACACTTTATCTCTGGAACTCTGGAAGAAGCAGGGTGTAACTATCCTCACAAGTGTGTGGAGCAAGAGTAAGATTTCAGGAAAATATACTTATATGCCACTAAGATGCCTACCTTGTCCAAGGTGTAAAACCTCAAAATACTGCATGAGTAGTTTGGAGCTGCTGGGTTATAGAAATACAAGACTTTGCTTTTATTCACTTCTTAGATATTTGCAATAACACCCCACCCCACTGTCATGTATTCCCCAGTTCAAAACACTTCTCATTCTCTTTTGGGCTATTATTTTGTGAAGTCATATAATAGAATATCTACAACATCTGCTTAGTTTCGGACAAATCAGGCCACAAAATAGTCTAAATCAGACTGATACTTATTTGACACACCTATTATCTTCTGAAGTTCCTTAATCATATTTGTGCTGATAAATGTAATGTTATACACATTGTTGCCAAACCCAGACATCATTCAGAGAGACAAAAGCAGGGATGAAAGAATTCTATATCTAGAGATTTCCATCAAGTGGACAGCTCTCGACCACTCATGACTATTGATGAACTGTGGTAGACAGAATGCAGGGATTTAAATAGTGCTACGGGGATCTGGCAGAGAAGTATGGTAGAGGAGATGGTAATTTTTCCCTTTTCCTCTTCTTTTTTTTTTTTTTGCGGTATAGGGGATTGAACTCTGGATCTTGAGCTTGTGAGGCAGGCGTGGCACCACTGAGCTAAATCCCCAGCCCTCCCTTTTCCTTTTTTGAGGCAGATCTAAAGGAGTCATAGACAAAATATATGAGGCTGGGCTGAAGGGGAGGAGCAAGAATCTTCTAGGCTGTTCTTGTTCTGAGGAAGATTGAAACCACGTATTGCAAAGTATGTACTTGACAAAGGAAAAAGTAAAAAAAAATGACTCTCTAGAGTAAAATCTGTTATTCTTTTTCACTTTTTGGGTTGAAGAAACTAATTTGGGGCTTGGGTCTAGAGAAATTCAAGGATTAAGTAGATAATCTTTTGATATTAAAGGCTGATATTTTAGGAAATCAATCATGAAAATAGCCTGACAAAGGAAAAAGTAGAATACAATGTTTTCTTAAGTTTTACCTTGCTGATATAGTTCATATTAATGCTAAGGCAACTGTATTAATATATTAATGTATATAATGCATATTGGCATTATCAATTGGGACTGAGGTGTAGCTCAGTGGTAGAGTACTCACACTTAGCATGCACAAGGTCTGAGGTCAATTGCCAACACCCAAAAACCCTCCAGAGGAACAAACCCCCCCAAATCTATCAATTTAGATACACATTCTATACTCTCTATCCCTGTAACCACATGGGTCATAAAATAAGTTTCAGCTCATGCTTGGCCAGCTCCATTGCTTTTAGAACTTTGGCAAGGGAGGAACATTATGGCTGAAGGGCATGGCAGAAGATAGTCACTCACCTGATGGCAGTCAGGAAGCAGAGAAGGAGAAAGTGAGAACCAGCCAGGAAGGGATCAGGGTCAAGATACAGTACTCAAGTTTATCCCCACTCCCTTCCAGGAGGCCCTACCTACTAAGTTTCCATCACCTCCCAATAATGAATGCCCCCGAGTTATGATCTCACTGATCGATCAACCCACTGAGAATGAAAGCCCTCATGATCCAACCACCTTCTAAAAGCCCTACCTCTGCTGTAATGGGGACCCATCCTTCAACACTTGAGCTCTGGGGGTCATTCCAGTCCCAAACTATCATAGCTGCCTATGAAAAAATTCCTTTCCTGAAACCACAAATTTATAAAATAGGCTTTATTAAAGGGTGGTTGCATTAAAATATTTATGAAGATCATTTTTGCATACTTAAAATATTTATATAAATCCTATTTAATAAAAATACATACTCATTTTATTGTCCAAATCCTTTTCAGAGTTCAAGGGCACTTTCTATTAGTAATTTCTAGCAGATGATTTCTTTTTTAAGAAAACATAATGAAAGTTATAAAATTTACTACATTTTTCTTGGGCTTTTTGGGGAGGGGGAGTTTAGGTTTGTCAAGGCTAGGTTAAAGTTAACTCTGGAGGCAGTGGCTAACTGTCAGGGAATCCTACACTTTTAGCCTTACTGTGTTCTAGGGTACAGGATGAAATCCTAACTAAGAACAATTGTGAAGCATCCTGGGACATTTTTGGTTAAATGAATTATTTTCATTATTTGATTCATTACATTTCCTTCACATGAATTTGTGAGTGTCTCATCCTTGTTACTAGTTTCTCAAGTGAAAAGACACTATTTTTCACTATAAAATGCTAAATTGAAGGAGGATCATTCTAATTTTTTATTCTTTCATCTGAGTCTCCTGTTTATCTCTTCTGCTTTATGTCCCTAATCTTCATAATCAACTACAGCAAAGAGTGATTCAGATTTTATTTACTTATGTGTAGTTCATAGGCAATGAGAAGACAAGGACATGAGTGAGAGAAATTCACTATAGAGATGATGTGAAGGGAAAAGAGACCTTGTCTAGCAGGAATAGATAGTATTCTTGGTTAACTGAGATAAGACAAAAGTAAAATAGGAATGATGACTGTGGTGGTGTGAATACATTATCTCCCCAAGTTCATGTAGGAGTTTAAATCCCCTAAATTTTATGTGAATGGTATTAAGAGGGTGGAACCTTAATCTCACTATTATGTTTAGATGTAGGGCCTTTGGAAAGTGGTTAGATTAGATAAAGTCATTAGGGTAAAGCCTCATGATTGAATCCTGCTAGCTTTACGAGAAGACAGACAGAGAGCAGACAGATAAGACAGACATACATGGTCCCACCATGATGTAAATTCAGGGTGGGATATGGGGTGCTTTCCCAGACCATGCATTTTGGATTTCCAGTCTCCAAAAATGTCAGATAAAAAACTTATTCTTCCTAAAAGTTAGACCATGTCAGGTATTTCTTTATAGTAACAGAAAGCTAACACAATGTTTCATAGAATTTTCCTTAGGACAACTACCCTCTAAGAAATTATTCAGTAATAAGATTTGAACATTTCACATAGCAAATCTTCTCTAGTTCCAGATAGTTTGTCCCCACTAGCAGAATAATTAGTGTTTTTTTGAAGCCCTGGGGCAAGTGGTATTCAGGCATCAGAATGGAAGCCCTCTTTTATCTTTCTTTTCTCTGACTTTGTACAGGAAAATATTGTTAACTTTAGGGATATACAGGGAAGAGTTGGAAAGTCAGTCCATTTTATAAGAAAAAAGAAGGATTTCAGTGTGTGGAATTTAAACTTCTGTTAATGCTTTTGTACACACTACTGCTGAAAGTTATACAGGATATTAAGCCAACCTTTTGCGCACCAACCTTTCATCAGATTCTTTCAGTATCTTGTTCTCCTCGGCATCTGGGAAACTATCCTGGCCAGCAACCACTGTATTGCTGCTGGAGGTGGTTCCTGTGGAGGAGATCAGAAGATACTTAGGAAACGATGCACACAGAGTGGTCAAGGTTTAGTCTCAAGTAATTGTAGGGAAGGGTTGCCTATAAAATCCTGTATTTGAAAAATTCCTTACATCTTTTGCATAATCTCAAACATTATAAATGACCTTCTAAGTGGACACTACTGAAACAAGAGAGTCTTAGACATCTGTTATGGTCAAACCAAATGCCTTCACTCCCTTATAAAGTGAGGTTACAACATTATTGAAACCTTTACTTCCTGGCCACTTAGGTAATGAGGTTATTTATAGTGGGCAGCCTGCTGTAACTGCTTTAGCATTTCTGGATCCAGAAGTTATTTAACTAGTGCTAGTGAAGCAAGTCTAAGTACCCAAAGATTTTGATCCCTAGACTAGTGCTTCTCTGTAAAGAACACTGCTTGGCAGCCAGGAGTAGGGTAGAGGGCATAAGAGATCAGAGGAGGAGAAAAACTTAAAGGCAGTTAATAGTATCAGGTAAATGGGAGTGAAGCAGGTTTCAAAGAATTGAGAAGGAAAGTGTATATTTCATGAAATGATGCTGATAGTAATTTATTTAAAGTGATAATACAGGTTGCGTATTCCTTCCCCAAAATGCTTGGGACCAGGAGTGTTTCAGATTTTGGAATATTTGTGTACACATGAGATATCTTGGAGATAGGACTCAAATCTTTATTTGTTTCAAATATACCTTATACACATAGTCCAAAGGTAATTTTAAATAATTTTACACATAAAACAAAATTTGTGTACTTTGAACCACCACACTTCTGGGATGATGTCTGTGCTCAAGAACTTTCTGATTTTGGCACATTTTGGATTTCAGATTAGGGATATATAATCTGTGCTGCTTTGGGGTACCCTAATACATCCTGTGAGAATGTTAATCAGAGGACTACCATAGACACAAGGAGGAGGGTAGCCATGATTCCTAAATGACTGCATCATAGGCTTGGAATCAGTAGGAGGTTAAAAGCACCATTGTGGGGTAGTGCAGGGCTACTAGTTCTTTGTCATCCTTATAATCATTTCACTAATCCAATAATACTCTCAGAATCTCAGCTATTCTTAAGCTATTCTCAAATGAATGTATCACAGGAACTAAAAGTAAGAAACATGTCCTCATACCCTTTGAGTGCTCCACATAAAGGAAAACCCAGAGACTATGGCAAGGTGTATGCCCAGTTGCCCTGGTCCCTACCGGAAGCTGCTGCAGAGGCCTTGCTGCTGGCTGTGAAGCGGTAGAAAGGTGGGTTGTCACAGTGCTGGACTATGGGGTTCACTGGCTCGGTCTGCTGCAGCTCAAAGAGAAGCTCTTCCATGGTTTGAATGGTGTTATTACGGCATAAATATACTGCCACCTTTTTAATCTGAACAGAAGAAAATTAATAAATAAACATAGTATTTGCCAGACCCTATGAGAATGCTGGGACTCGAATCACTTGCATTTAGATAACATGTTATCATCCAACAACATCATTCTAATAGCTGATCTTGTGCTATCCTAGGATGATGAAGGTGTTTGGATTAAAATTCACCTTGCTGCTGGGTGTGGTGATGCATACCTGTAGTTCCAGCACTTGGGAGGCTAAGGCAAGAGGATCACCACAAGTTCAAGGCCAGCCTGGGCTACACAATGAGTTCAAGGCCAGCTGAACTACCTAGTGAGACCCTGCCTCAGCACCTGCTCCCAAAACAAACCAAAACCAAAAAAAAAATTTTTTTTTAAACCTTTCTACACAGGCAGGTCTGACAGAAGTGTGTTGTTGAAGCCTTATCTTTTTTAACCGTTTAATTTAAAATATCTACCCTTGGAACACAATGATTAAGTCTGTGCTAAAAACTTGTCCTCAAAGTTCTTATCTTCAGAAAGAATTTTGTTTATATAAACCCTGGGAAAAACTGCTAGCTATTTTTGTTTAAGAAGGAATCTAGTCTCTTTTTATCCTCCTCTCCCCTACAAACAAATGAGTTTTAGCTGTTTTTAAAGTTTGGATGTTAAAAATAACTCTGAATTAATGTTTTGCATTACAGGAGGCCTCACAGTTCAACCTGAGGCACATGCGCTGCCTGGAGGCCTGTGTGGCTCAAAGCAGCAGGAAGGAAGGCAAATTCTCTCACAAACACCACTGGCATGGAACTGCCACGTGAGTTCATGTTTAAAAATGGTGCTGCTCTGTTGATCCTACCATCTTCAAACATAAACAGCAAACATTAAACATCTTTGCTTACCTTTCTCCAGTCACCTAAATTTGTAAAGAAAAATCAGGACTCTTTTTTTTTTCCTTCATCAAAAACATCAGAATGTATATAAAAACATTTTTATGAGTAATAATGTAAAGTTTTACCCATGGTCTCTTATAAACTGGCACTAATGTTTATAGAAGGCAGCATCTGGTAACTGTTAGAAAAATGTTCACTCCTTAATTCATAGGTTTCTGTGTCCTTAGGTTTAGAGGTCGGGGACAGCAGTGGCCACTATCACAGATTGTCTGAATCTTGGAGGCAGAAGGAGACCTTAATGCAATATGTGGACAAGCTCTCAGGAGAGGAGCATGACTGGCAAAACTGGACGACTCTGTTTTAATTAGAGCCGAGAGTACATTCTCACTTGCAGAATCCCATGTGGAAGTCCTATCAAGAAAGCCTGAGACACACTTACATAGGGCAAGAGTATGGTGTCACTGCTGACCCCGCACAGACTGATCAGGAACTGCAAGGTGATTCTTAGGTTGTTGCTCCATTTTTCATTGTTGGCTAATGCATTCCAAGCATTTTCCATTTCTGGTCCAGGAACCTCATCTCCATACTACAGCAAACAAAATAAATATGTGAAGATTATAAGGATGCAAAATGTTTGATGGAATGTGGTTTTGAGGATCATGGCCATCTCAAAAATCATAAGGAAGAGGGCTGGGGATTTAGCTCATTGGCACTGTGCCTGCCTCGCAAGCACAAGGTCCTGAGTTCAATCCCCGGTACCAACAAAACAAAACAAAATGAAATCATAAGGAAGAAACACAGTCTTTATCAGAAGTTGCCATTTTTTCAGAGGAGATCAACTCATGAAGCACAAATCAGTCATGCACGATATATATGCAAGCAATTAAAAAAGTCAAGACTTGTTATTTTTTCAACTGCAGTAAAATATACCTAACAGAAAATTTTCCGTAACTACTTTTTTGGGGAGGAGGCACTGGGGATTGGATCCAGGGACTTGTGCAGGCTGGCCAAACACTCTGCCATAGAGCCATACTTCAGACCTCTTCATAACCATTTTTAAGTGCAGAGTTCAGTGTCAGTAAGTAGATTCTCGTTGTAAAACCATCACTATGGTTCATCCCTAATGATAAATGTCATTTTTTCCCTGGTTTTGGAAAATGGAATTTGATTAACCCAGGGCTTTCTCTGATGACAGTGTTGTGCTAGTTGAGTTTACCTTGGCTGTCATGTACATGAGGTTATTCAGGACCAACGATGTAGCTTCTGGAGAGCCCCAGCCATTCCCTTTCAGTCCATGAGAGGCGGTCACTTCTCCTTCCCGATCCTTGACTTCGTCCTCTGGGGTGCTGGGGCTTGACCCTGGGAGGAGGAGCCTGCTGTCCACCAGCTCGATGTTGTGCAGCCAAGGCAGCAGGTAGGTGAGCATGATCTGACGCCCATTTGGGTGTGTTGTGGGGAATCGCTGGCTGACCTCTAAAGTGAATTGCAGGGAGAGACAGCTGTGTGTTATTATTCCATCAAAATAAACTAAAACATAAATACCAGCCTACTGATCAAACAATGCTTTCCATTTACAGAAAGTATTTTCATATATAGAAGCTCCCCAAGCCACAACAATCACAAAACCAAACTTAGCTATGAAGCCTGTTGTCCCATGTCCGGCATTCTGTGTAGGTAAGTGCCATGGCACTGTTAGGGCAGCACAGGCTTGGCAGAAATGCAGTGAGATGGGATTCATATCCACTGTTAGTGAAGAGATATGTCAGAGTACACAAAACAAGGGACCTGAAGTCAGAAGGACATGTGCGTGGATTCCCCTTCCACCACAGTCCAGCTGCAAGTGACTCTGGTCTAGTTATTTAACTCCTCTCCTCTACATTTTCTTCTTGTGTACAATGGGGGCCTGTTAGGGAACATTGGGCTACTGAGAAGGTATAAACACAATGTATTCAAAAAGGTTGACACAGTGTGGCACAGTGTCTGTCATCCAGGATGCTGCTAATGAGTGGTGGTTAGGAATCATCTAAAAATGATAATTATTATCTCAATTACCCAATGACTTACAAAGTGTCTTCCATGAAACATTAGTTGTTAAAAGTGAGCTGTGGACCCCCAAGAAGAATAAGCCCAGTTTGTGGAAGCTCCTTGAAAACTGGGAAGCCCATGTAAGGTGGCTGCCAAGTGCTGCACCCCACTCTGTAAGATATGCACATCTAAAGGGTTAATCTCTCAGTCCAGCTCAGCCATCTCACCATTATTTTCTCTGATGGCATTTTTGTATCATTTTATTGCCAGCAGTATTTAATTTTATCATCTGAATAAACTTTCTACAGAATGAGATGCACAGCTCTATGTACATGCAGTAGGCTCTGAAGTAATCTACTTCTCATCTAGAGAAGAAACTGTTTTGGGCAAAGGGAAATTAGTAAGCTTCCCCTTGTGCATGTGTTATCCAGTGTGACATTGAACCTCACTCTAGTGCCATGGCTGCTAAGCAACAGAACAATGATGCTAAGAATTATACTAAGATAATCTACTGGGTTCCCCAAAGGATAACTGTAATTGATTTGGCTCTTTTCCTAAAATTAAAATTTTCAAGAATAAGAATATATTTAATGCTATACCCCATTAATCAGACAGGGCTAAGCTGCTATGTCTTACAGAGGTCAAAATTTCATTCTTACTTAATTTGTATGTTTAGATACTATGACTATTGTTATGATAAATACTTAGAACCTTAGAAAATCAGAACATTCTTTTATGCCTAGGTATTGGGCATTTTCCAGTGTAAGCCACTGTGCACAGCACTGGGGACAGCACAGACTTACAGTGTGGCTCCTGCCCTAGGAAGAAGACTCTCAGATAAGTTACGTTGCTAAGTAACTGGGGCAAGGCAGAAAGTGACAAATGACAAATATTAGGGGTTTAGTGGAGGAAAATGATTTCTGGTTGTAAAAATTCAGGACAGTTTCAGGTGAAAGAGCTAGACTTTGGAGAAGAGAAAAAAAATTACAATCAGATGGAAAGCCCTATTAAAAATATTTACTTTTAAACAATAGTATAGAAATTTGTACATTTTTTGTAGCAATGATCACCTTCTAACATATTGCATAATTTGCCTGTTTATTATGTTTATTACATTTTGTAGGATGCCAGGTCCAAGAGGGTGCGGGTGTCTGACTGAGATATTCCAAGAGCTCAGATCATCACCTGGGTTGTAGAGGTGTTTTTGAAGAGAAAAGAAAAAAGAAAACACCACAGATCTGGGAACAATCCCTAGTTACCCCTCCAGGACAAATTAAATAAAATGTGAGATCATGTTAGTGGGATGTTATATATATTTTTCTGGCTCCTTTGGGAAGGACTTGAACAACTTGTCTGGCTACTTACAAGTAATTAGGTCATCTAAAATTACATGCAATAAAAACCTTACCACAAGATTTATAATAGTATGGGCAGTAAAAACAAGAATTAGGAATCTATTATACCCTCTTAATTTTTTCCTGTTATTTTAACAAAGTTCTTCATGAATCAAAATAGCCCAAAGGCAAATTCATGAAGCAAATGTAGAAATGACTGCAACTCATTTTGAGCGTCTTGGCTTGTTAAGTGTACTATTTATCTCCTGTCAGCAGCTCCCACTTTATTGGCTTTCCATGTCAGCTAATATATTGGCTCTGATGATGTTCATTCTTAAAAACTTTGACTGCATCCCACCTTAGTTCCTGTCTCTTGTTTCCCTTCCTTTTTTCCTTCTTCCCTCCTTCCTCCCCCTTTTCTCTTCTTTTTTGGGGGGGTGGTGGTGGTACTAGGGAATGAACTAGGAAGTGTTGAGTTATATCCTCAGCACTTTAAATTTTTTTTTTTTTTAAATAGGGTCATGCTGAATTGCCCACACTGGCCTTCACCTTGGAATACTCCTACCTCAGCCTCCTCACTAGCTGGGATGATAGATGCATGTTACTGTGTCTGGCTTGATTCCTCTTCTTTCTCAGCCATGCCATTGAAATCTGGCTTCTGCTGCCACCTCTCCATGGAAACTACCAACAGTTACCAAAACTCAGAGGGCCATTTTTAGACCTTATCATCTGGGTTCTCTCTACTCCACCTCAGGCAGTGGAGTGCTTGCTCCTTTCTCTTAAATTGTCTGATTTCCGTGACACTGACTCCTGGGCATTCTTCCTCCTCTGAGCATACCTCCCTTCCTCCTGTTCCCTTCCCTGAGTCTGCAGAGTCAGATGCTGAGCTCTTTCACTCTGTGCTTTCTCCATTGCTGACGTCCTCCATGCACTTGGCCCTAAAGCCCTCTATTCTGACATGAATCCCAAGTGCTGGCCTTCTCCTGACTCCAGGCCTGTCTATATACGGGAAGGTCCAGCAGAAGCCTACACTTAGTATCACAGGCTGTACTCACGATCTCTACCTTGCTAAACCTTCCCCTCCCCCTGGTTTGGCTCCTTGGGTGGCTGTCAACATGTTAACGTGCCTTCTGGTGGCACAAATAAATCCGTGCCCTCATCCAGCAGCATTTGACTACAATTTCCCCTCTCCATTTGCACTGAGCTATCTTGGTTCAGGGCCTTATCGTTTATTATTTCCTCCTTGGCTTCCTGTCATCATTTCTTACGTGGTCCACTCTCTCTGGACTGGAAAGTCTCCAATCAGCTCTTCACACTCTCTCTTTCTAAAACACATGCTGGTCTTGCCACCCCTCTTCTTATTTGAAACTCAGCAGTGGTTTTGAAAATCCCAGCAGCTTGCTAGATGCCCTCTCTATTCATAGAGCTCTGAGGCAGGGTCAAAGAGCACAGACAGGAAAATGCTGGCCTACAAACTCCTCGTGTGCAACACGAGGCCTTCGGAGACACAGCCTCTGGCTCTTTCTCTGTCCGCAACCCGATCTAGCATTCTCCATTCCCTGCATGTTAGGTTAGCCACCCTGACATCTCCATACTACCTCCAGAGGACATCATGCTGTTTTACTCCCTTAAGCCAAACTGTATGCTGTTCGTTTGGACAGTCTATCAACTACTTGTCTGTTTTGCAAATTTCTTCTCTTTTACATTACAGCTCTGACATCAACTTCTCTAGGAAGTCTTTCTCAATACTCTTCGCCTAATAACTGGTTTCATCTCATGGATTTGAGTATCCTTTTCCTTTGTAAAATTGCATCTGGGCCGGGGATTTAGCTCAGTGATTCTGCCACCTGCCTCCAAAGTGCAAGGTCCTCAGTTTGATCCCCAGTACCAAAAAAAAAAAAAAAAAAAAAATTGCATTTGCCACATTTTATCATAATTATATCTGTCTTTATTGCTATTTTGAGCTTTTGACTGAAGACTGTTTTATTCACCTCTGTATGCCCAGAACCCAAGCGGTCTCTAGCACAGAAATGGCACTCAAATCTTGACAGAAGTGATTAAAAATAAATTTTAGTTTTCCAAGAAAAGTATTAATGTACTAAAAAGGCTTCTGTTAATTCTCTCCACACTGCATTATTTGTGAGTGACTTAGCCTCAGGTAGATGGAGAGGTCCAAGCAGAGGTAGTTTTTAAGTTAGATTTTAAGGAGGGTTGGAAGTTAAGAAGAGAAGAAAACCTTTCCAAGCAGAAGAAACAGTATGCACAGAGGCAAGGATTTACAAGAGGCCTGGCCTACTGGTCATAGATTAAGTAGGATTGGAGTACAGGGTTTTTGGATGAAAAAGTGGAAAGCAGGTTAGGAAAAGGAAGTTTTAAAAGAATAAGTTAAGGAGTTTCAATTTTATTTATTTTTTTAGGGCTGGTGACTTATTTATTTAAAAAATTATTAGTACATGTTTGCAGTACAATGATTACTAGGGAGTTGGTACATGTACATGTACATTTGAATTCTTTTTACTTCCTCCTCCCCTTATACCCACCCGCTCCTTCCATTTTCTTGGTCCCAATTTTAAAGTATTGGCTTTGGAGGATGTAGGACTGGATTTAATTTGGCCTTGGTATTTCCCAGCTATACTGTCTTGAGCAAATTGTTTAACCTCTCTAAGCATTAGTTGCTCACTGATAAAGTAGGGGAGGATGATGATGGTGATGGTGGTAATGATGTTGGTAAAGATAATCTCAGGTTAAGACTGAGCCAATGACTGTGGTTCATCAGCTCATTTTAATCCGCATATCCTAAGAGGTAGTTCTTATTCTTGCAGATAAAAACAACAGAGTTTAGAGTTCTGTGACTTGCCCAAGGTCAAACAGCCAGTAAATGCACGGCCAGGCTGTTCAACTCCAGGGCCTCTGTCTAACCTGTAAACTACACCAGGGGGTGTAAAGAAAAATATGATACATATAAAATGTGTACTGCAGAGTCTGGTATATATTAACCACTCAATAAATGGAAGCTATTATTGTGCTTTGGGACAACTGGGCATTCAGAGAAGTCTGAATTGAGAATTTGCATCCTAGATGAATTGCAGTGGGGAAGATGGATTGTAGGCAGGAGTGTGAAGGCCAGGACTGAGGAGAAACTGGACCAAGGCAGTGGAGATGCAGATGGACAAGAGGATGAATTTAAGACACTGTGTCTGCCTCTGCAAGGTGCTCTGTGAGCTTAGGTAACAAGTTCATGGACAAACAAACCTTTGACAATGGATCCTCACAACTGTTGGTCATTAAAATTGCTTGCAAAGATGTGCCAAAAATTACTGTAAACAATTTATATATGTAATGACACATAAGCTACAAAACACCACTGCTACCACCACCTCCAAACAACTTGCCTCAATTAAATCAGCAATGAGTAGTGTCTATTATATTGCTCATATTTAATTTCTTTTAAAAATTTACATATATAATGTATGCAAAAGTGTTTATTAATCTAAGTATCTTTGAATTTCTCATTTGTATGATTATATCTACATTGTTTTAGATAATCACATTTTAAAATATTTTAAACATTCCAGAATTTACTTTTATATATAACTGGATTTAGCTTACAGCATTCTGATCTACAAATTTAGCATCATTAATTTTGACTCTAAAATTACACTAACTATATGTGGATCTTTAAAGTAAAAAAAATATTATTGCACTAAGAGACACAGTGCCATCAATCCCCCTCACCCTGCTCCAAATCAAACACATTTATCCCACCATTTTTGCCATTTTCTCAAGCAGTTCTGGAAGTCCTCTTTGTGACTATTTAGTTTCACTGACTTGGCTGTATTTATGTCATGAATCAACTCAAAATGTTTACCTCTCACAGTCATTTTAACTTTGGGGAAACCCAGAAGTTGCACAGTGCCAAATGTGGTAAATAAGATGAATGAGGGAAAACCATAATGTTTTTATGTTGGATGGCACTTGGCAGCAGCATTGACTGTCTTTTTGATTGTACCTTGGAAAGGCACAAAAGACATCCAGAACTGCTTCAGAAAGTCTCAAGACTGATGGCATGTGTGTGTTAGAAGTGAGAGGTGGGATTCTGAAGGAGATTAATGACAATGTCTCTTTCACTGTAAAATTTTTTAAAGATTCAAACACATTCTAATTTTGATCAGTGCTTCGGTTAGAGTAAGGTTCTTTATCAATGTTGACTAGTTTACAGTACCTGAGAAGAGTGGGAGAGTGAGCTCAGGGTACATCCTGGCCAGTTCACTTGACAAAAGACCTAGTGACATACTGTAGAGGGGTGGCAATGGGCCATGTGTCCCATAGAGAATACTGCCAGGTCTTTGTTCAGAGACTTTCTTTGAGTATACAAAAAGCTTTGTTTCCAGGATCTATTAAGAGGTAGAAAAGACAGAAATAATGTAAAAAGACATTAGCTAGCAACGCTGGAGCACTTATATTTAATAAAAGTTATAACAGAATTTACTACTGTAAGGACTATTTTAATACAGAATTAAATGTACAGCATCAGTTAGTATGTTTACAGAACATTATATAACGTTTTCCTTACTCTTGAAATCCACCCATGATACACAGAGACAATGCATTCAAAGAAATGCTCAAGGATAGATATTTTCCATGCCAGTAAATGATACGTGCCTGCATGAGCTGCATGGAGATTTCATAAATTTCTCTGTTGGTGTCAGAGGCCTTGAACAGAACAAGGTTTAACAATGTCACTATGTCGAAGGGATAGTTCCTAAAAAATAAACAGCATAGTTTATAGCCTGGGTTGTTATCTCAAAAGATCATTACTTCTCAAAATTCTAGATGGCATACTGACCCCAGTCATTTACTAATGAATTCCCTTGCCCATTTGGCTATTTTTCAAAAACTTCTCTTGCTAATAGATGAAGGAAAATGACTCTATTAAATAGAATATTGTGACACCCTGATTTAAAAAAACAAAAAGTATATCTCTTGCAAATAGATTTTAATGGAAAACAAATATCAAAGGAAAAGACAAAAGAGGATATATGTATTAAATTTGTGAATAGCTCATTAAGTTAGCATTATTGTGTGATCCATCTAAATTTATTAAGTATTGAAAAATTATTAGGAACAATGGGCAAAGTACTGATGATATGAAGTTATTAAAGCTGGCTTATATTTTTTTTTTCTGGCTTATATTTTATGGAGATAAAGTACACATAATGTGTAGTTTAGTGCCAATGAGTATTCTGATGGGAGTATCCATATCACATTACAAGAATCCTGATGAGAGTCAACTTGGGACCTACAGGAAAACATGTGCATCAGCATCCAGAGGCTGCACAGGGATCCTTGGCCAGGGTCAAGAAACCAGTCAGAAACACCCCCAGCAAAGAGGTGAGCCCTGCAGGCATCAGCACAGCCCACAACTTGAAATGAGAGGACATGTAAACAAGTCTCAAAAACCAGACTTCCAGATCACCTAAAGCAACCTCAAAGGGAAATGAGATGGAACAATCTGATACTCAACCACCTGCACTCCCTGAACTGGCAACAAAAGAGGATCTGAAAAAAATGAAATCAGAAATAATTTCTCAGATAACAGCAGATTGTGCCCATAGTGAAAGACATGGTTAATAAATCTAGAGAGGACACAGATAAAAAAAAATAGAAGAGCTAAGGAACATGATGGAATCCCAACATAGAAAACAAATGGAATCCATAAAACAGATGCAAACAGATTTCCAGGAGAATAAAAACTCCACTGAAAGTTTACACAGCAGAATGAGCCA